TTTTTAATTAGAGCTATCGACTATCGAGTAAATTTAATAAGCGATACTTAAATTCTTTATTATTAGATATTTATAAGTTTAAATTTTATAATTTTTCTTTTATTAAAAAGCGTAAGATACGTATTATAATTTAAAAAAAAATCTAGAAACTTTAATAGAAAATAGTAAAGTTATTAAAGTATTAAATATAGAGTAAGAGATTTTTAATAATTACGAACGCTAATTTATTTAATTACGATATCTAATTAAAAAGCGTAGATATAATAAATTTATAAATAGCTATATATATAAATTTAAGATTTTATAGTTTAACTCTATCTTATTCTTTTATTTATATTAATTATATATATTATTAAGTCTTTAATATAATATTATTACTAGTTAAAAAGATATTATTAATATATATAAAAGAATAAGATAGAGCTAAATTAGAAAATCTTAAATTTATATATATAGTTAATTATAAATTTGTTAGATCTACGCTTTTTAATTAGATATCGCGAATATATAAATTAATATCCGTAATTATTAAAAATCTTTCTCTCTACTTTTAAACCCTTAATAACTTTACTATTTTCTATTAAAATTTTAAGATTTTTTTTTAAATTATAGCCCGTAACTTACGCTTTTTAAAAATGTAGATTCTTTAGAATTTGATTCTATAATTATTAACGCGCAAGGAATTCAAATATCGCTTATTAAAGTTCGCTCGACAGCCGAATAGCCTTGATTAAAAAATAGATATACATTATTTAATTTTAGAATAAATTTTTATTTTCTATTAAAAATTTTAATTATTTTTCTAAATTATAGAATAAAATATAGGCTTTTAGAAGAAAAAAGAATTATAAGATTTCGTCTTATAAATATTTTAAGATAAAGAATTCAAATATCGCTTATTAAAGATTACTTATTAAATTTACTCGATAGCTCTAATTAAAAGAAATAATTATAAATTTAATTTATAGACTTTTACTCGTATAATAAAATATATTAATCTATTATATTATACTCTAATAAGATATAAAATATTAATATTTATATAATCTTATATCTAATATAATATAAAATCTTAACGATATATACTACGATATAATATATCTATAATATTATATTATAAAATAGTATATATATAAGATATCTCGATAGAATCTCTATTTTTAGAATTATAAGTTACTATTCTAATTATTATTCTAATTAATAACTAATCGTACGACTATAGTATCGTAATATTTTATTATTATAACTATTATTATTATAGTTATTACTATTATAACTATTACTATTATAGCTACTATCGAAATATAGCTCTCGCGTATTTTAGTTATTATATTTTTAACTCTTACTTATCTTAGCTATTATATTTTTTAGCTATCTAATTTTATACTATTTTTAAAATCTAGTCTAGAAGAGATTTTAGAGAATTAATTCGTTCGTTCTATATATTATATATATAATATTTTAATAGCTATTACTACTATAGCTATTACTATTATAACTACTATTATTTTTTATTAAAATCGTTTATTATTATATAATAGCTATAGTAGTAATAGTAATAATAATAATAGCTATAATAATAATAGTTTTAATAATAGTAGTTATAATAGAGATAGCTATAGTAGAGATAGTTATAATAGAGATAATTATAATAGAAGTAACTATAATAGAGATATATTCTAATAGTAGAAAATTAATTACTATTTATCTATAAATCTAAAAAGTTTCTTTCCGTACGATTTCCGTCGAGTTCGTATTATAAGTACGATTTAGTCTATTTAGCAGACTTTACTTATATTTAATTCTTTTCGCCGATTTAATAACTATTTCAACTCTTTCCGCTAGTTCTATTAGTTTAATAACTTTAAAAAAATTTAATAACTTTAAAAATTTTATATAATATACTCTAATATACTCTAAGTACTATTTTATATATATATAATATTAATATATATTATTAATAATATACGTATTATTATACGCTATATTAGAGTATTACTTACGCGACTAATTTTATTAAATCGTCTAATTTCGTAGTTAAATTTAAGTTAACGTTAATACTTATTATTATAGAATCTTATCGTTATAACGTCGATTATTAGAACTTTTCTTTTTTTATATATATTACTATTAAACTAGTAGAACTAGCGAAAAAGATTAAGATAATTATTAAATCGGCGGAATTTAGATAGATTCTAATTAGATTTACTAAATCGATAGAATTTAAGTAGATTCTAATTAGATTTACTAATCCGATAGATTTTATAATTTCCGCGATAAACGCGCGATCAGCAATTTCAAATTTTGCAGAAACTTTTTAGATTTATAGATGTTACTATAGTAAATTCATAAGTTAAATATAAGATAATAAGATTCTATAGAGAAATCTACTAGTAAGTATTATCTATTAAGACGCTATAATAGCGCTAACTTCTATCTCTTCGTTTCTATCTTTCTACTATATTTATAATAAATACTAATAAATAGAAAAGAAAGTAATATTCTTAGTGCTTAAGTAAGATAAAAGTAGTAGCAGAAGAAAGTAAAGAAGTTTCTTCGAAAAAAAAGTTAACTTATTCTTTAGATAAAGAGTTAAGAAAGCCCTTTCTTTGAAAAGAAAGTTAAGAAAGCTTATTCTTTAAGTAAAGAAGTTTAAATAAAGTAAGACCTTTCTTTAAGTAAATATAAACTTTCTTTTTTAATATCGTAAACGAAATTATATTATAATAAAAGAAAGTCTTTTCTTAGACTTCTATCCTAATACGTTATTAATTTAATCTCTTAAATTATAATTTAATTCTTATTTTATACTCTTTAACTAATTTTATAGTATCCTTAAGATTATCTAGATTATATTATACGTTATATTTATTCCCGCAGTTCTTTCACTTAATTAAATATTAAACTTTATCTCTAAATTTCTACTTTTCTAGTAGAATCTCGATTTCGTAAATATTCGTAATAATATCGTTTTTTTTAACTTTAAAAGTAATAGAAGTATAAGCGTATATATAAGAATTCTCGTTTCTAGTTAATTTTAATTACGTTATTAAAATAATTAGATAGATTTTTATTAATAGAGAGAGCTTAAGATAATATATAAGTTTTTCGATTTTATTAAGAATCTTAAAGGGGCTAACTCTCTAATTATAAAGTTTATAATTATTTAAATTAGAGAATTTATATCTATAATATAAATATAAAAAAACTATATTACTCTTAAATATATTAAGAGCTTTATATATATTATTATAGTATATTTTAATTATAATATTAGTAAACGCTATATAATTCTCTATTTACTCTTATTTTATTTATTATAAATAATTAAAATCTTCTTATAATAATTCGATTAATATTTTAAGGATATTACGAACGTTGAATCTATAAAGAATCTTATTCGATAATATATCTATAAACTAATTTTTAAAGTTATTTAGATTATTTATAAGATATGAAAGTATAAGTATCTAGTTAATCTCGGAATTGGTTATAATAAAGTAACGAAGCGCGATTTTTATAATTTAATTTATACGCTTAAATTATTTATTAGTTTAAGAGTAATAGACTATAAAAGTAAGAATTTTCACTTCGAGTTTTTTAAAGATAATTTATTAGAATTCTAATATAAATTTAAAATCTCTATCGCTGATCGTGGCTAGTGAAATACTCTATTTATATTAAATTAAGATAGTAAGTAGAAGATCGGTTTACTCGATAGTAGTATAAATTATTTTCTCTAATATAATTAAAGTACGCTTAAAAAATTTATTTATAACGATAAATAGATAATTATATTCGTTAGCGGTTATTAAAAACGCGATTACGAAGTCTATAATAATAATATAAAATAAGATTCTTAGCTTATTAATAGAAATTATATTTTTATAAGATTTATAGCGCTTAATCTAATTAAGCTCGTATTCTAAATAGTAATCTATATAAGTCTATAAGTATTTTATTAGATATCTTATATAGATAGAATTAACGATTTAATTATAAGTTCTATAAAATTTACTATAGTGCTGGCGATCGTATACTAACTCGAAGATTTTCTTTTCTAGTATATTTAATATATATAGTCTTTTATATCTATTATTAAAGTTTATATAATAGATAAGTAAAGGCCTATGAATTAAATTTATAAAGTTGAATTTTTCTAAGTTAAATCGAATTTTAGCCCTAGCCCTAAGTTAAATCGAACTCTAATCGCTTACTATACGTTTTTAATCTACTTTTACTACTATAAAATTAATTTAATCTATATAATATATAGATATATATATACGAAGAGAGGCGTATTAAGATTTAATTAGAAAGGTATATTAAGTATAAAGAATTAATCCGTAATAATTACTTATAAAAAATAGAGAAAGACTATATTCTTATAATAAGAAGTATTAAAATATCGAAAAGAAATAAAGATAATATATTAATTAGTGGTATAAATTTCATAATATCTTCTATCGTAGTAAAATTTTTCGAATAATAAAATAGCTATAGATATCGAACGATTTTAATTCGTTTAAATATATATCGTTCGATAGATAACCCTTATCTATAGAGGTTTAATTGACTGTAATCGACGTAATAGATCCTTCTCTTATATACTTATTATAGTGATATATCATAATGTAATATTATCTAGATATATAGAGATAGCAAGCCAAATTATAACATCGTTCTCCGCCTGCTAAGTAGTGATTTCACATGGAATCGTGGAGAGCATATGACGTGGGATTGTAGAGAGCTGAGCCGTGTTTACTGGCCGGAAAGGTATGGTATGATATGGGATATTGACCTGCCATACCATACTCTGATATGGTATGGGATATTGATATTTGCATGATCCCATACCTGGTATAGTATGGGATCTTGGCGGGATATACCACGGTATGATATATCTGTGGTATCATACCATGGAATGGTATATGTATGGGATATCCCGTTGGGATTTCTATATTTAGAAGTATAAGTAGCTATTCTAGTCATCATTCTGGTCAACGGCTAATCGTATCTACCCCCATTCGATATACTACCATGGCTGGCACTACCATGGCTGGCACTACCATGACTACCACTATCATGACTACCACTACCATGACTACCACTACCATGACTACCACTACCATGACTACCATATGATAGTAGGCTATTTGAATAATAAATAGTGATAGCCATGGTAGTGGTAGCTGTTAAAATATCAGGTATGTGATATATAGAACGGACGGATTGATTCTCCAAAACCTCTCCGAGGCCAGGTCCTAAATACAGTACAAAATCAGGTGGCTGAAGAACACGGTGGCTGGGATGCGCGGGGGCCACATTTCGACAGTAGCTATGGTAGTGATAGTCATGATAGTGAGTGATAGTCATGGTAGTGGCAGCCATGATAGTAGCAGCCATGGTAGTGGTAGACATGGTAGTGCCAGCCATGGTAGTGCCAGCCATGGTAGTGCCAGCCATGGTAGTGCCAGCCATGGTAGTGGTAGCCATGGTAGTGGTAGCCATGGTAGTGGTAGCCATGGTAGTGGTAGCCATGGTAGTATATCGAATGGGGGTAGATACGATTAGCCGTTGACCAGAATGATGATTAGAATAGCTACTTTATACTTCTAAATATAGAAATCCCAACGGGATATCCCATACATATACCATTCCATGGTATGATACCACAGATATACCATACCGTGGTATATCCCGCCAAGATCCCGAACCCATACCAGAAAAATGGAATGGTATCCGACCCTACCCATACCATACCCGGGTACGGTATGGTATCACTTGGTATGGAATATCCCATGGGATATACCATACCTTTCCGGCCAGTAGCCGTGTTCTTGCTGATGATAGTCTTATTGCCGCTTGGTTTCTCCGTAATGTTCTTTATAGTGTTCTCCGTAATATTCTTCGCATTTGCCTATTATAGTTTCTCCTCTTACTCCTTAATATAGTAAGAATAATAGGCTAAGTTACAGTAATGTTCTCCGCTTACTAAGTAATAATTTAATGTAAAACCGTAAAGAGTATATAACGTAGGATCTTGAAGAGCTAAGCCGTATTCTTGATGATAATAATCTTATTATCGCTTAATTTCTCCGTAATATTCTCTATAGTATTCTCCATAATATTCTCCGCATTTATCTATTATAGTTTCTTCTTTTATTTCTTAATATAGTAAGAATAATAGACTAAGTTATAGTAATATTCTTCGCTTACTAAGTAATAATTTAATATAGAATCGTAAAGAGTATATAACGTGGGATCTTAAAGAGCTAAGTCGTATTCTTAATAATAATAGTCTTATTATCGCTTAATTTCTCCGTAGTATTCTTCATAGTATTCTCCGCAGTATTCTCCGCATTTATCTATTATAGTTTCTTCTCTTACTTCTTCTCTTATAGAGTATTAGACTAAGTGACTAACTAAGTAGATAACTAAGTAACTAGCTAACGATCTAATTAAGTAAATTACTAAGCTAATAGAGTAGATAGTATTAATTAAGCGACTGATCGAGTAGTATATAGAGGAGAACGATAGCTATAAATTCGTTTAAACTCTTTTTAAAGACTTTCTAACGCGTTTATAAGTAGTAATAGATAGCTGTTAAGCTCGCTTACGGTCTCGATTATTAGTAATAGCGAATTTATCGAGAGATAGTCTAAGGGCGTTAGTAGAGGCTCTAAGAGATAGATAAAAGATATATACTTAAAGCGTTTAATAACGTTTCCGCGAGGGATATCGAGAATAATTATATTTATATTAATAAATTAGTAATAGTAAAAGAAGAATAATTATATAAATAGATGAAAGGATTATTATTTAATTCTAAACGCGTCTAATATAACTATTATATTTAAATATTTATTTAATCTATTAATAGTAGATTAAACTTTATAATTTTTATAGCGTTAGAAAGCGTAAAGCGAGCTCTACAATTTAAGGAATTATAAAGTAACTATATATATCGCAAGCTAAGTACTTTAAAGTATAAGACTTCTATATATAAATTTTTAATAAGGAGATATAGAAGAGTTATCGAGCTAACTTAGTCGATCTAGTTAAAGAGCGTAGCGAACTCGAATTAATAATTAGCTATATATATAAATTAAAGATTTTCTAGTTTAGTTCTATCTTATTCTTTTATATATACTAATTAACTCGTTTTATAGTTTAAAATAAAGGTCGAGTTAACGATTATTTAGATCGTTAGATTTTAAAGTATACTTTAACGAAGTAGTAGATTCTTAAATTTATTATAAAGTCTTATCTAATTTTATAGTAAGACTATATATCGATAATAAGATTTCTTTAAATTAATTTAAAGTAGTAGTAGCTTTCTTAACTATTTTATAGATTACTCTAAAAATCTTACTCTACTACTTATTCTTAAAGTATTCTTTAAAAAACTATATCTTAAAGTTAGCTAATATTTTTATTAAGATAATATAACAGCTAATTAATAGTTCTTAAAAAACTAAATATAAGAAAGATACGATAATTTTTATTTTTATTACTTATTTATATAAGGCTTCTAACACTTCGAGATTATTCTTTATTATGAAAGTAAACTCTTATAGACGTAATAGAGTATTAGATATAATATTCGTATTATTAATTTTATAACGGATAGAAAAATTAAATATTAAAAGATATTAGAATATACGTATTAGACGTAGATTTAGTTTATTAATACTTAAAGTAATAAGATTAATTTAATATAAGAACGATATTATAGCTAAGTAATCTATAAAAACTACTATCAATATTTTTCTAGTAAATTTAATTATATAACGTACTTTCTTAATTATCTATATTATATTAATAACTTTTAATTTTATAGACTAGTAGTTCTACTTAGTCTAATTTAGTATCTTATTAAGAAATATAATTAGCTATATATTCGTCTATAGAAAGAATTCTTAATTCTTTAAATTCTTAATTATATAATAGATTATAATAGCGAAACTCTATTTTTTAAAAGTATCTAAATCGATATAAAGTCGATGATTAGAATCGAAGTGAATTAGGAAAGTTAGATTAAAAAAGGCTTTTTAAAGATTCTAGAAAGCTTTAATTTTAGCTTTTATAGATTTATAATAGAAAGAGCTAGAATACTATTATCGAGTATAATCTTTAACTTTCTTAGAAATAACTTTTATAAACTTTATCTTATATTATTATAATAAATTAGGATATTATAGAGATCTATATCGAAAGTTCTATACTCGTACTAGTATAGCTCTAACTCTACTTTTAAAAAGCGACTCTATAGAGAAAAAGTCTAGAAATATCTTCTTATAGCGTATAAATAGAACTTTAAATATTTCTTTTAACTTGATAGAGGTATTAAGCCTCGAAATCTAACTAGAGCTAGATACGATTACGAAGAACTCTAGATGTATTATCTAGGTAGTCCTTTAGATAAGACGTTATTCGAAGTCTAAGCGTAAGAGTCTTAGCGAGTATAGAACTTTCGATATAAACCTCTATAGATATAGCGTAATATAAATAATTATAATTATTCTATAAGTTTAAGAAATATTTCGAGTTTTTATAGCGATTTCGAAAAGCGTAGCGAGATAATAATTACTAGCTTTTTCTTAGAGGTAGAAAGTTTTAAAAAATTGACTCGCTATTTTAGTAGGGTTATCGAAAAATAGTCTAGAAATAATTTCTTAGAATTAAGACTAATATGACGCTATTAAAAGAGAGTAAATATTTATTATAAATGCTTAAGATATTATAATAGTATTTTTAAGAATATAATTATATTATCTATATATACTCTAGCAAAGTCTCGAAGTAAACGAAGAATCTTATTTATCTATCGTTATATATAAGAGAATAATTCTTTATATCTTATAAGAGTAATATTATACTATTCTTACTCTCGATAAGATACTATTATAAGCTTATGTCTGTCTTTATAGCGTATAAGAAATTGATGAAAGTAGTTATTACCATTCATTATAGAAATATATAAGAATCCTACTATAGCGAAAGTTATATTCAACTATAAGAGTAACGAATAAGAATTAGATTTCGTAACTTTATTAAGACCTCTAATATCGATAATAATATAGCTCTTTCTATTACTATTAAGTATTTATCTTTATATTATAAAGATAGAGTAGTTATAAAATATAAACTAATTAAACTACTTTATCTTATCTTAATTATATATCTTATTAAAAGTTTTATTAATAATATTCTTATCTTTCTGGCTAATAGAATATACTCGCGAAGATTTAGCTATAGTATCCGACTTTAGAGAAATGAGTATTTATTCTTCTTTCGAAATATTTACAATAATATCTTAATTCTACTAGATCTTCGAGAATTTCTCTACTATAAAAGTAATTTATAAAATAATTTTTAAACTATTATAAACGATAATATCGTTAGATATTATATATTTAAAATTTAATCGATCTGAGTATAAATAGATTTTGCTATAATAGTAGAATCTATAGATATTAGAGTAGAGGGAAGTATAGATTTTTAAATTAGCTTAATAAATATAGCGATAACTAATATAATTCTCTTAGTAAAATTTCTCTTCTATAACTTTATATTCTCGATAGCGAGATATATATTAGTAGGTGTTATTAGAAAGATACTATCTTATTTATATTTATAGAGTACTCTTAATCTTACTTTTTATAGTAAACGAATAGATATTATTATAGTATTATATATTAATACTATTAAGATTATATAATTAATAATATAAGCGAAAACTTCGTTTATAAATTTAAAGTCTTAAGTATAATTCGACTTAAATAAGAAATCTCTATCTTCGGAAATAGCATCGTTATACGTAATAGATACTTTTAAGATTATATTCGATACTATAATAATCGCAGTTATAATATAAATAATACGCTTAAAATAAAACTAAGTTCTTATTATTATATTAATTAGTATTTTTAATTTTTAATACTATTCTAGTCTAACGCTTTAAGCGTTTAAATCTATAATTATTTTTTATAATATTATAATATTCGTATTAATAAGAATATTAGCTTTAAGATTATTTATAATATATATCTTTATTATAAGATAGACTATTTTTATTTTCTAGGATTTATCGATAATATTATTAATATAGATTATAACGCTAATATACTTAACTATATTAATAATCTTATTATTTATTTCTTAAATTAATATAAAAAATGCTATTTTTTTTAATCTTAAGATTAAGAATATACTTTTATAAGTAAATACGATTTCTTAGTATTACTTCGCAGCCGAAGTTAGATAAAATTTCGCTTTTCTTAGCTCTAGAATTTAAAATATATCTAATCTTTATAATAGTATATTTTTAATTTCTAAAGTTATACTTAGATCTAGCATTATAATTTAATTTAATAATAAATTTAATAATTATTTTTACGTAGATATTATTAATTATAAATACTTCGAACTTATTAAGATTTACTTTAGATTCTTTAAATTTAGAAATATTTTTAATAGTATTCTAATAGTCTAATCGTAAATACTTAAAAAGTTTATTTCTT